AAGATGAGAGACATGAGGAAGACTAGGGACATGAGGAAGATGAGAGACATGAGGAAGACTAGGGACATGAGGAAGACTAGGGACATGAGGAAAACTAGGGACATGAGGAAGATGAGAGACATGAGGAAGACTAGGGACGTGAGGAAGAGGGGGGACATGAGGAAGACTAGGGACATGAGGAAGAGGGGGGACATGAGGAGGAGGAGGGACATGAGGAAGAGGAGGGACATGAGGAAGACGAGGGACATGAGGAAGAGGAGGGACATGAGGAAGAGGAGGGACATGAGGAAGAGGAGGGACAGTAGAAGAAGCTCAGATGAAAACTGGACTTTGAACTCTTTCTGACCTGAAGAGAAGAGAAAAAATCTTTCTTTCATTCAGTTAATATCTGTGTCTCTGAACGAATCAGATTTCACATTATTAGAAGACAAAACAGCTGAAATAAAAACAGCTCAAATAAAAACAGCTCAAATAGAAACAGTTAAAATATAAACAGCTAAAATAAACAGCTGAAATAAAAACAGCTAAAATAAAGAGCTGAAATAAAAACAGCTGATATAAAAAGAGCTCAGCTAAAGAGTAAATAAAACAAAGAGTAACTACTACAACTAAAGAGTAAATAAAATAGCTCAAATAAAAACAGCTATAATAAAAACAGCTCAAATAAAAACAGGTAAAACAAATCAGCTAAAATTAAAACAACTAAAATAAAACAGTTGAAATAAAACAGCTGATAGACCAGGAAGAGAAATGTTTTTAATCATTTGATTGAACTAAAACTCATGTTGTTTAAATCTCTACACTGTTGTAAACAAACTAAGTTATGTTATCGCTGACTCAGCATTTCCATTTTCGCTGACTCAGCGTTCACCTTATTGTCATTCAGTTTATAATTTCTTCTGTAGTCATTTGGACTTTAGCTTCTTTCACAAGTTCAAAAATCCAGGAAATGCAGGTTAAAATGAAGTTATCATCTACAAGTGTTACTGCTTGTGTCTGTTAGCAAAATATCTAACAAACCAGTGGACAGATGTGAAAGAAACTTTACATTCAAATGGGTCTAAAAATGAAGTTTTATTTTGTTAACAGAAGGAGGATGTGGCTCATGTCGAGATGAACTGGACTTTGGTTTAAAAAATAAAAGTGAAAAGGTTTTTAGTAAAAGTTCAATCCAAACTGCAGACGGTTTTCAAAGTAAAACTCGGTTACATAACTGTTGAAACTTTATTAAAGCACACAGATGTTGGGCTAAACTCTCGTTAATTTATTTTACAGCCTTTTGTCCTCATGAAAGTGCTTCATTAGTAGTTTATAACCTGAAATACGTCAACAGGAAATATATTCCCAGGCTTTTATTGTGAAAAGTCCTTCAGCTCCCATGTTTCTGTGTGTCATCATGTGACTCTGCTGCAGAAGATGAGCAACAGAGCAGGAATCTGTGCTGCAGCCAGGGCATTACATAACCACACACACACGCACGCACGCACGCACGCACACACACACACACGCACGCACGCGCACACACACACAGAGCTGTGCTGAATGAATTCACTTCCTGATGTTTGCCTCAGAAACAGTCAGGAGTCAAGCAGCTGCAGCCATGTTTACTTCCTGTTTACTTCCTGTTTACTTCCTGTTTGTTGTGAAGCTGCTCAGACCTTCAGGTCAGGTTTCATCAGATGAAGGTCTGAAGGTTTCAGACTGATGAGTTCTGTGGAACAAAGACACTTCAGAGGTTTTTCTGTTTGTTTCTCAGCCGTTTCACAGCAACGTGTTGAAACGTTCTGTCTGGAAACTTTCCTCCAACCTGTTCAGGCAGCTCCTCCACAGACCCGGACACAGGTGGTCCCTGCAGGTTTACCTGGGACTGGATCAAGTGTGGCGTCTTTAAACTCGTCTCTGTCCTGCAGAGGATGAAGTTTTTACTTCAAATTAGACATTTCTTAAAACATGTTAACATTCAGTGCCGTTTTAGTTTCATTTTATTTTGAAAGGCTTTCAAAATGAATGTTCAACGCATCAAAATGAACATCTAGACCCTCCTCTTTCGATTGACACCTCATTTGACCAACTGGGTTCAAGTTTCGACGGTCCAGGGCCAAAAAAATTTCAGAAGTGACCAACTTCCAGTTCTCATCATCCTGGCTTTGACTGACTGTAGAATCGGCCAATCAGCTCCGAGCTTTGTTCTGATGCTCCAGCTGTGTAGCCAATCACCGTACCTTTCATTACACACACACACACACAC